GCAGGGAGCCCGATGCGGGACTCGATCCCGGGACTCCGGGATCATGACCTGAGCCGAAGGCAGTCGCTTAACCAACTGAGCCACCCAGGTGCCCCGGGCTTTTTGAAAAATGTAACTTTATGCTACTTAAAAGATGTTAGGAAAATGTGTACGGAAGGCAGGAGGCTTTTTAAAGTCAAGCCAAGCAAGACCCATTGTTATATTTCAACCCCCGCCTTGCAGTCAGATTGCTGGTCCTAAATGGGACTCCAAAGCACAGAAAGTATTTTCTGTTCGTAATGGTAAAACCATCAAAAGGTATCCCTCTGGTGGCTGTGTGAAGACGGGCTGGCAGCTCACGGCTGGCGCTTCAGGCACTTTCTCCCGTGTTTCCCTCAGTCTCAGACATGGAGGATGAGTCTAATTGGTACAAACTCAGCTGCTCCCTCCTCCCCCACCCTGGGATCCAGTGCGAGGGCACCCTCCCTGCCCCACCACCCCTGTCGCCCAAAGCGTTTGACACCTCTCTTGCCATAGTCTGTCCTTACTGGATTGAAAGCAATTTGAAGGGAAGTTCTAGGTTTTGTTGTTGGATTTGGTTTTGCAGTGGTGTTTTTTTTTTTCTTCTTTTAAGTTTTTATTTAAATTCCAGATAGCTAACATACAGTGTTACGTTAGTTCCAGGTGTATAATACAGAGATTCAGCACTCCCATCCGTCACCCGGTGCTCATCACGACGAGTTCGCTCCTTCATCCCCATCCCCCGTTTCCCCGTCCCCCCGCCCCTCTCCCCTCTGGTGACCAGCAGTGTGTTTGTTCTCTGTAGTCCAGAGTCTGTTTCTTGGTTTTCCTCTCTCTTTTCCCCCCTTTGCTCGTTTGTTTTGTTTCTTGAATTCCACAGAAGAGTGAAATATATGGTATTTGTTTTTCTCTGAATGACTTATTTTGCTTAGCATTATATCCTGTAGATCCATTCATGTCGTTGCAAATGGCAAGATTTCATTCTTTTTTTGTGTGTGTGGCTGAGTAATATTCCTATACACACACACACACACACAGACACACACACACACACACACACTACATCTTCTTTGTCCATTCATCTGTCGATGGATACTTGGGCTGTATTCATAACTTGGCTATTGTAAATAATGCTGCTATAAACATCAGGATGCATGTGTCCCTTTGGATTCATGTTTTTGTATTCTTTGGGTAAATACCTAGTAGTGCAATTGCTGGGTCATATGGTAATTCTATTTTTAACTTTTTGAGGAACCTCCATACTGTTTTCCACATTAGCTGCACCAGTTTGCATTCCCACCAACAGTGCACGAGGGTTCCCCTTTCTCCACATCCTCACCAACACCTGTTGTTTCTTGTGTGTTGGTGATTTTAGCCATTCTGGTAGTCGTGAGTGAGGTGGTATCTCTTTGTGATTTTGATTTGCATTTTCCTGGTGATGAGTGATGTTGAGCATCTTTTCATGTGTTGTGTGTTTTGCAGCATTTTTAATTTTACCTTTTACCAAAGCATTTCATGTGCATTGGATAAAATGCAAAGTAGTTCTAACAGGCTCATAATGAAAACCAGCAGACCCTCCTGGCCCTGTACCTCCACTTCCTAGAGGCAGCCGTGTTAACGCTTTCTGCCTTCTGGTAGTAACATGTCTATTTCTCAGTCATGTGGCTATATTACTTTTTCTTGAGTTTTCACTTCTAGATCTTTTTTTTTTTTTTAAAGATTTTATTTATTTATTTGAGACAGAGAGAATGAGAGACAGAGAGCATGAGAGGG